TTGTTGGTTTCTGTAACAATTTCGGAGACAGTAGGTAGTTGGCCTAAGGTCTCCTATCCCCGTGATGGGGCTGCCATCTTAGGTGTAGCTTCCGGGGAAGAGCATTTCTTATTCAGCCGCTGGATGTCAGCGAAGACAACAAATCAAGAAGACTGGCAACTCTTCCATTTTCTCATACGAACGCTATGAGACAGGTACAATCGCGTCATCTGCCGCTCAAAGGTAAATGCTTCGAACGAATTTGATAGCAAAGATTACATCCTCAGACGAAGGGTTTGTGTATTTGCTCATTTTACTATGCGTTGCTTCCACCTTCACTCAAGCGCGGCGCTACCAACAATCAATATGAAACTAACGATTTTAAATTGGTACACTACCTGACTTGCCTATTGGTCCCAAGCAAACGATTAACGTACCCCATTCTAGTTGAAATTCTAGTACTACACTATGTTTGTTTTGATTTGCTATGAAAGTTTGACAGATAAAATCAGGGGTTAGTGGATTTTCCTATGTTTCGAGGGGCGAATCGATTAGCTTGGGAGCGAAGATAGTACCAGAGCTGAGCCAAAAAGTTGAGCTCGTTTCTTCGGGACCTTCTGGTCTTAGAGTTACCTCTATGGCGCTACTGCCCAACAAACAATTTTAGCTGCCGACCAGCTTATACAAGCAAAAATTAGCTGCATAAGGCAAATTTTGTCTGTATAAGCTTATCTGCAGCTAAAATTGTTAGTTGGGTGTATCTGTCGCTTGGATTCTGGCAAAGTTGCCAGTCTTCTTGATTTGTTGTCTTCGATGTCAGTCAGATGCTGTTTGAGCCGCACCTCCGTGGTGGACAGACGCTCGGGTTGGCGAAGCATTTGCTCTACCGCCATGCTATTGTTGTATTGACAACATTGCTCAGGATACGCCACCCAACTCTGTCCACGTGTCAGCTGGTAGTCGCTTGTAATCATATCAAGAACAACATATGAAAAGGGCATATAACCTTTTGTAAACAAACCTTCTTATGCCCGTTTCTCGCCACCCATATGACACCAACGCAAACCATCAGCATCACCGGGGAGGAGAAACTTTCCCCTTCCCGATGATTTTGTTGGTTTGCGTTGGAGAGAAAGGGCCTACAAAGGTTTGTTTACAAATAGCGTGTATGCCCTTTTCACATGTGACTCTTGTTATTGTGAGGAACAGAGCTCGGTAGCACGCTGATTTCAGATTGTCAACTCACCATTTTGTAGCCCTTTTCTAGTTATCCACCCTAGAATTCAATCCATAAAAACTTAAGGAATATTTTGTGCATCTTAGTCATTTTATTTAGCCTTAGGAAAATCTAATTAATGCTTTTGAATAGATTTTCTGTTTTCTTATGTGCTTTTGAAATCTACTTAAAAATTGGCTTACTCATAATATGTACTATTAAAAACTGGATGCATCTGGATAAAGCTCTTCGATTGTCTTTCAAAAAATAACTCGATATTTTAAGTGTTTCTGTATGTAATGAAGTGAGGATTTTTAAAATCCTAATGTCAATTTAATTTTTTTTTTAATTTATTGTACTAAATGACCTTTCCTGAAATTGAAACTTTCACACGGACAGAAAATTGTTTGCATTGAACCAAAAATAACTTAAGATATTTTTAAACAAACAATTCATGTTGAAATTATATTGCGTTTTGTTGTTTCGATAATACTTATTCACATAACTCCAAAATAAGCTTATTTTTGTTTTAATAAGCCTCTTTTCAATTGCAACTATTATAAAAACAACATTATTCTTTTACTAAGCCAACAATAGTTAGTTTTAATTTAGCATTAATTTGTTGTGTCCATTTCCCGGGCGAAACTATGTATCACTAACAAATGTAAAAATAGCTCTACCCACCATTCCTTTGTTTTCACCCGGAAAAAATGTAAACATAACACAAACTGTTATCGTTAAAAATTCGTGAAATTAGTGCAATATTTCAGCGGAGCCGGTGCTGTAGTGGTAAGCGTGATTGCCTCTCACCCCAGCAGGCCTGGGTTCAATCCCAGTCGGCGCCACCGGGATGTTCTGAGGCATAGCATCTCTGATCACGCCTTCCTTCGGAAGGGAAATAAAGACGTTGGTCCCCGGTTCATGAGTTGATGGGTCGATAGGTAAGGTTCAAGTGTGGGAGCTGCCTCCCTGGCGTCGGTAGCATTGGTGCTCAGCACGGAAAACAAGATCGACGGAAAACAAAAAAGGAAAAAAAATTTAAAAGTGCTATATTTCCGCAAATATGGAGACTTGAGGTAAGTAACAGTAAACAGTTTTTCAGCCAACAACAATGTCTCAGAGTGAAATATATTGGAGGGGGGGATGAAAAATATCTACGGTCCATACAAATTTCCTAAAAATTGTATGGACTATTGTCTATGAGGGGGAGGGGGGTCAAAAACCTCTTAAAATCGGTCTACGTAGATTATGACCACCCCCAAAGTGTTCACTTCTGTTACCAAAACTCATGAGAAATTAAAGAAATTTGTTTTAGAAGAAAAAAAAATATAGCAATATAGTTTTACTCAGTCACTGTGAGTTAATTTCACTTTGAATTTTAAACCACGCTCTTTGCTTTTTACCTTTTCACGGATCTGTTTCTGTGATGCAAATGTAAAGCCTACTTCCGGAGAATGCTTGCGAATAAAAGCTCAACCTCGCAAATAAACTATACCAAATAATAGAGGTGTCATTCATCTACCTGTTTATGTTGTTAGTTTTAGTGATTGAGCTTTAATTCGCGAGAAATCGGTGATTGACGTGTTTGTTTACTAAAGCAATTACGCCCTAATCTCGAAGTTTTCTGGACTTGTAGTTTTTATGTAAATGATTTCTTAGCACTCATTACTGAAAAGCTACACTTTTCGACACTGTTTTAAATAACATAATGACCTACTTTTCATAACTTAAATAACCGTGTCGAGAAGTACTACTTTCCAGCATCAGGTTCCAAAAAGTTCTGCTTTTCGACACTCTTTTGAGTGCAAAAAAAATGGTATGCAACAAGTTGCAAAAAGAAGATTTTTTTCAACACTCGTCGTAATTGTTGAAAAAATCTTCTTTTGCTACTTTTTGCATAATAGCTTTTTTCATGCAATTCTTTGAAGCCACAAACCACGGTTGAGAAATACTAGATTAGATTTTTGGCTAAGAACAAATGGAAATTGGTTTAAATCAACGGTTATGTTTTGATATACCTTCAACATCCACTCCTACAATTTCGATTGCCATGTGTCAAAAGTGAAAATATTTATTTGTTCTAGTCTTATTTAATTACTATTTATTTAAATTAAATTTTATCTAGTTTAACGCCATAGAGCAATGTTGTATGATGAGGAAAAGCCCTTCTGTGTTGGTTGATCTCATATCCTTTCGATATTTCTCTAAAAATATTGGGAAAAATTATCAGAAATCCAAGAAAATCAGTGTTTTCCTTAAATTCCTGAGAAAATTAACGTGTAAATATATATATTTTTTTATCGCATGATCAGCGAATCCAAACATATAAAGCAACAAACGATACAGACAAAACGGTTGCTACGACTGCCATGACAAACTCGCTCTGTAACTTGCTCGATCGGAGTGGTAAAAGGAAATTGATATATTGCTTGCCGGTTTTGTTGCAATATACACGGATGAGGACATAGCTTGATCTGAATCGAGAAAAGACATAACAAAAAAATTACCACTAACACACGGGTATCATCTTCGGCTTTACTTCGTGAAGCAGCTTGCCAACAATTTGCTCGTTGCCTTCTACCGCCCCGAGTGAGCTGTGTCGCATGGGCTGCTTGTCATGAATAAAAGGAAGAAGATTATGCATAACTAACCCTAGTGGCGAAAACGTCATTTTGAACTGCTCGAATGATATGATCCATTAGTAATGCATCCGTGTACTGAATGGGATTTGTAGGTTCAAATTCCGCCGGTTGCTTTTTTCCGAAAATTATATCATACACACGTGTCCTGCTGTTGTTGTGTGTTTTTCTTCTCAGTATCTTCTTTCTAAAAAAAAAAAAACTTTCAAATTAATGTTAGTAAATTTATGTACACAATGTATGTACCCTCTGTAAGTTTCTGCAAGAAAAAAATGTGGTGCAGAAAGTACGGATACATTATTTTACTTTTTGCTGAACATAATCTTACAGAAAATCAAGTACGAGACTAAACCTTGTAACTCAAGAAAGTGATCATACAGCTGTCATTAGACTTTGGAAAATGTACCAAATTCTTTGAATTTTTGCTCATGTGTTATTCAAGACCTATTTACATGCTGCAAATTTTACGAAAATCCACTTACTATGAAAAAAGCTCCTACTTGAGCTAAAACTATTTAAACCTTCCGTAGGCCATTCTTAAGTAGGGGTACTGGGGGTAAGACGGACACCCTAAGGATTTGCTCAGTTTTATCTACGCTGAATGCAATATTTTGCCTGCAATCTCAGTATTCTGTAGGTTAAACGTATGCTTTGAGAAACTACATGCCTTAATTTATTTGAAGTTACGAAATTTAATGATTAATTTTGAAATTAAAAATAGTGTAATAATTCATAATTTGAGTTAGGTGTGGGTAAAACAGACAGGTGGTGGGGGTAAAATGGACAGGTGGTGGGGGTAAAATGGACAGGTGGCGGGGGTAAAATGGACAGGTAGTGGGGGTAAAATGGACAGGTAGTGGGGGTAAAATGGACAGGTGGCGGGGGTAAAATGGACAGTCTTGTAAATTTAATTTTTCTCTATTTTAAAAATTATGCAATGCATTCTCTGAATGTGACACATTTAAAGAAAGATGGTTTTTACGATGATGGTGTTTATTGCTCTCCTTACAGTAAGTATTCTTATGACATTACAGAACGGTAGTGCTCTAAAAATAGCGATAAAGTTAAATGCTTAGGTACAGGTATAATGGATTAATTTTCACATTGTATGTACATGTCATGTAAATATAACAATAACATACTAAAAAGGAACCTTATGAACTTGTTTAGGTGCAGGAGGGACAAATAGTATCAACCTTACTGTAGCATTGAGCATGGAACCACTTCAAGCACTTCAGGCATTTGTTCCAGCCTTGCCCTTCAACTGATCCAGAAAAACAAAATCCACATAGTTCGCATAGAACATCTTCAGGATGGCTGTCCACTTTTTGACGTTTAGTAGACGATTGTTTCTGGCCCTTTTTGATTGATTTAATTTCCTTCAAAGCCTCAGCTGTTGCTAGACCTTGGCGATAATGTCCAGAAGTGATTTCTACCGCTTTTTCTGATTTGCGTTTTCTCTTTGATGCTCTCGGTACTGCCATTTTTGGTAGCGGACGAATCTGCGACGGTGACACCTCGAACGAAGATTTCGGAGGAGTTTCAGAAACTTGACTCAGGGCGTTATTTCTGTTTTCGGGATTACCTGAAGAAGTACCAACTGTATATGGTTGTTCTTCGGCCGAGTCGTTCAACACGACGATAGCCGAGTTTTGCATAGGCGTACCACAATGTTGCACATCCGTTGAATCAGTTGCTTCAGGCTGGTCGGTCACTTCGGATGGCGCGAAGGCTTCGTCTGGAAATACTGTTCGATCTGCCGGCCATATTCCGGACTTTTTGAAACCGTTGATGGCCACGCTTGTAGTGGCGGCTTTTACAAACGCAGTGCCCATCAATTCGGCTACGTCATATTGACCGATGTTACGTCCCGGATATTTCCGCATGAAGGCTTCTGCTGCACTCGCGTAGTGGATTTTAAACGGCCCCATGAAAGAGATGTCGAGTGGCTGCATTTTATTGCTGCAGTGTGGTGGTAAAACCAACACTGTTACAAAATTCGCTCGAGCTCTTTCTGCGAACGCCAAGTTCTTCGTATGCGAACTATGACCGTCTATGATCAAAAGAACGGGATTGCTCACAGTTGGGTGCACATTTTCCAGGAAGTGCTCAAACCAATCCAGGAAGATATCTGCGGTCATGTATCCAGAAGGGTTACAAGAGAACTTGGTTCCACTTGGCGCTCCCTTTTTTAACGATTCGTGCATCCGTGCCCTAGCAAATATAACGTAGGGTGGCAGGTGATGACCAGCCGCAGACATGCACATAACTACTGATGTCGTGTCTCCTCTATCTGCCGACGTGATGGAACCCACCTGCTTCTTCCCCTTTTTTGCTGCTATTTTCTGTTTCTTGGGAGGGACCTAAAATATTACAGTAAGTGTAAGTTTCAATTATAAGAAAATTGTAAAAGAGCTTACGGTACTGATCCCGGTTTCATCTGCGTTGTATATACGCGAAGGCGGGAACCCTTTGTCGGTCAATGTTGCTTCCAGCATATCAAAAAAAGCATTCACAGAGGGTTTATTGAACCCTCTGGCACGTGCCGTAGATGTCGCTTCCGGTTTGCGGAAGGATAGAGTTGGATTCCGCTTTAAAAATCCGTGAAGCCAGTCTCGTCCCGCTAGCTGCTTCTTTCTGTTGAACGAATGGGGTATCCCATTCTTTTCCGCCAACTCATACGCGAGCTTCTGCACGTCCGTCATATTAATTCCGTAGAACCGCGATTCCAGATCATGCAGGTGCCGAACAAGTTCCTGTTCTTGCTCAAGCGTGAAAACAGTAGATTTCGGTCCCATCTTCTTGGGCACATCTGGTGAGGCGATCCGCCGGATGAGAGTACTTCGTGGAATCTGATACTTCGCAGAAGCTCCATACACGGACATGCCACAATCGATGGCATGCCTAGCTGTAGCTAATTGCGCTTCTGTCCAGGACTTCCGGCTTGTTTTACGCTTGTATACACGCGGCATCTTTAAAAAAAATTAAACCACTGTAATATAAACTGCGTATTTTAAGATATCAGCACTGTTCGTCTTGCCCCGGGAGAGACTGTCCGAATCACCCCACTGGTAAGTTATTTATGAAAGTGCCAGTGCACGCACTCCAGATAACAAAATTTACCTACTTACTTCATCCAACAAAACAACCGGAATTGAACCAGGAACAGAATGACAACACGTTTTTTATGTATTTGACTGTTTATAAGCAGAAAAACCTTAAAAATTCAACACCGAAATTAACATCGCTGCGTTGCGCGAGCAAGCTAGATTTGTTTTTGTTTATATTTTTACATTTGACAGTTCCTGCACATAGCAGGGTGTCTCGAAAGGCATTCAATGTTGTGAATGAAGGGTGGGTGTGATAGTTTTTCAAAAAATCAAAAGATTAACATGCAAACAAGCAACTGTCCGTCTTACCCCCACTGTCCGTCTTACCCCCAGTACCCCTACCTTGCCGAAGGTGAGAGAGTTTTAATATCATGTTGAAGGCCTGCATGGGGGACCAAGACATTGGCCCATAGTATTTGAAGTATTTTATCACAAAAAAGTGTTACTTAAGACGGACAAAGACAAGATTAATGTTGCAGGTCAATGTAGACAGGTAGCATAATAAGGAGATAGAGAGAAATTTTACTTTTAGGCTGTTTTCGTGGGAAAAATAGGATGCGGGGGGTCCGCATACGAAGGCAACTACTATTGAAAATAGAAGCTTCGAAAATACGGGAACCGGGACAAGCAATAAAATGCGTAGTTTTCTACTGTTGCCCAACGCTGCAAAGCTGTAAAATTTATTAAGCTCTTATAAATAGTAAGTCAAATAATTATAATTTAAATAACTCACATCTTCAGTGATTATTCATAGCGAATAAGTAACGCAATTAGTTACTTATTTACTACGCCGGTGCTTTCGCTTCTAATTACCATATCACTTCTCTTGTTACAGTTGCTTTAGGTTGTAATCAAACCGCTAAAGTGCTAAAGCCCTGCCAATGTAGAATCGGTATGAAAGCGGATGTTTCTCAGAATTTGTTTGGTTTAGAAGAAAATGTTATGTATTTATTGTAGTTTAAACATACAATACCAACCATTGAAATAGCATCCTTAGCCATTTTTCCACTCTTATTTAGTTAAGCTTTAGCCCCAATACATTTCGATTGCGTGGAAGATGTAGGAAAGTATGCATATGCTTACATAGCTGAACGCACAAAATTGAATAGGGTAACTGATGATGGTTGGACCTATTTAGGCCGGTTTCACACGACGTCAATATTCATGTCGTAATTTTTTTTATGAATTCAACATATAATTATGAAAAATGCGTGATTAGGGGAAAGATCTACCTTTCTTGTTTCTAATAATAACATAAAAAGTTAAATATTATCAACAAATTATTTTATAAAACGTTTTTATTCAGCAAAGAATTATGATGTTGGTTGGACCTATACTGATCTTGGTTGGACCTAAAAAATGATGATGGTTGGACCTATTTTTGAAAATGCTAGTTTAGCCCATATTTGTTCAAAAACTTTGTTTAGAGCTTATTGGTATCATAAAAAAACCTTTTTTAAACAGTTTTTAAGAATTTTCTATTAAAAAAAATAAAGAAATTTGAGTTTAACTTCGTTTTTAAAAAAGTTCACTTTCCACGCATTAGCTATTCATCATGGCTCATTTTCCCGGAAATCATTGACCCGATTTGGAAATTTTTTAACGTCAAACTATAGGTATTGTGGTCCCATTGAAAGCTATCGAATATTTTTGGAATCGGTCAACTGGTTCCGGAGATATGGCCGGAACAAGTTCCAGGGTATATGGAACATGGACCTAATTTTGAACATGGAAGGAATAAAACCTATCATGCGACATTTCACATTATTTCCAAATTCGATAACAAGATCAATAACAAAATTGAGTGCCTTGGACCACATTGGCCACTTCCGGGCATGTTCCCCCGGGGAATTTAGGGGATTAAAATGACAGAATATCAGAACTTAATTCCGATTTTATGGGTTTTTTTTTTGGGAAATAAGTTTCAGTTAGCAATTTTTAGTTTGTTAACATTTTATTTCAAGTTAATTCACTCACAGAAGGTGTATGAGAAGTGCTTAATGTAAATTCATATTAACAGATTCTTTCGGCGCTTTCGTGGTAGTTCGGAAATCGGTGGTTACCCTTTCAGCCAACCTGACGATGGAATTCCTCCTTTAAATTTACGCCCAACTAGTGACGCAAGGTCTTTAGCAGCTTCCAAGATCTTTTTGGCCGTCTTGAGACTGCCAGAAGCAGCGCACATATAAACCCAATCCCCTAGCTGGTTCTCCAAATCAACACTCAACACTATTTCCTTTCCATATTTCTTGCCGTGGCTTCCCTTAATTGTTGCGTGAAGTGTCGTTTTCGGAATATTGTACCTTTTCTGTGCCTGATACGCGGTAAGTGATTTATTTCTTACTAACAGCCTCTTGAAGATTTTCGACCGTATAACTCTTTTCTTTAGCCATTTTTTCAATCGAAGACACTGATCACTCGGCCAAAACAAAATCGAATTTCAAATCAGCTGCGCATGAAGGATGTAGACAAACCGAACCGCACCTAGCGGCCGTCTTAGGAAACACATAGGTCCAACCATCATCATGCGTAGGTCCAACCATGATCATATTTATCGATTCGAATTTCGTCAATTATTCAAACATTTTAGTGAAACCAATGGATAAATGGCATACTAACGTGTTGTTTACACCTTAAAGCAGTATTTTACTGCATGAAAATAAAAATAAATGTAAAAAGTATTCCTTTTTTGTATGTTTGAAAGTAAGGCATAATGACGAGCTAATGCGTGGAAAGTGAGCTGTTTTGAAAACACATTGAAACTCAATTGTTTTGAAGTTTTTTCAATAAAACACCCATGCAAATTGAAGAAAAAGAGTTTTTTATGATAGTAAAGTGATCTTTGAAAATAAAAAATTAGCGAAGATTGACTAAACTAGCGATTGAAAAAATAGGTCCAACCATCATCAATTTTTGGATAGGTCCAACCAGAATCAATTACCCTAATAGGTTTAGTTGCAGCACATTTTTGGTAAAGTGTTGTATGGCATATTATGCATTGGCTATTATCGAACTTTTGTGCATAACCACTACCACCACTAAGCTAAAATGTTGTAATAATTCATTTCTTTTAATAGAATCAAGAATCAACCAAAAAATTTCTCTTTGGTAATCATAAAAATGGGAATGACTTCTCGTATTTTCTCATGTTTCAGTTCGGGATATTTTGGTATATTGTTTCCGTAATAATTGTACAATTACAGAGCTGATATAAAGTTGAATAGGATTAAGTTTTTTCATACTTCAAATCTCCTTCTCCCTCTCTCCATCAATAAAATTGTCATCCACGACCTCGAATATTCGGTTGAATTTCTTTAGCTTTAGATTTAAGACAATAATAATGTATAACGAAGAGAAATGAAGATAGCTGTATGCTGGTGTATGGAGAGGCTTGCAGTGATTGGAAAGGTAGAGAATCATTAGTAATTGGGGAGTAAGTGTAATTGAAAAAGAGAAGAATTAATAGTGAACACGTGTTAGTAAACACATATTCGCAACTGAACTTACGAACGTTGACCGAATTTTGTTGCATGTGCAAAGCGAACTGTAAAACTTGCAAAGCGTTTTTCTCGAAATAAAGAGTTTATTTACGGGTCCCACGATATCTCAGGACTGGATGAACCAAATTGGCTGAAATTTGGGGTAAAGACTCACAAGATATATTCCGTGTGCATCACGAAGCCGGATCTTGAAAAAAATTAAATAATGATTAAAAACTGACGATTTTTTATATGAAAAAAAAACATAAAAATGGGAAAATGGCTTTAATGTTGGCCTATGGATCTAAGATTGGGCCCATCGCTAAAAATCTGCTATTTATCAATTTTATCTAGATGAACGCGTTATTGGGACGGTACTAATGGATATTTTTGGTCGCTATTGAAAATTTATTTATTTTTTTATTAATTTATTCGTCAATCAATCAAATCGTAGACTACATATTAACATTAGGACTTATGTTCTATGCCTTCGCAGGGTTCTGAAATATATTTTTAATTCTGTTGAGGGCATATTTAGGTCAATCATTTCACAATGATGATTATAAACAGTCATCATCTGATTTACAGGTCCAAATTTAGCGTAATTGGTCCGATGGTCTTGACAATAGATCAGCTGAGTAAATGCGTTGCGAAATGATATTGTTTAATAAAGAAATCTTTGCGTAATCCCGACATTCTGAATGCTGATCAGCAAGCAACGTGCTTCATATGACGGGAGAGGAAAAGCCGTCCAACCTAACTTACGTAGTGCATATAATAAAAATTACTTTTGGATTGACTTTATTCGTTCTTCATGTTTTTCATATAGGGTGACCAAACAACGCTACAATATTCTAAAATTGACCTCACATGAGCAACGTAAAGTGATTTTATTGTATAAGGATTGTATAAAGATCTTTAAAGTGGAGACCGAAACGTTTTATAAAATTAAGCATATTGCCTGCTCTATGTATTATTGTGTTATAATGGTCCACAAATGTCAATTTAGAATCTAGAATTACACTTAAATCTCTTACATTTTCACATTTTTGAACATTTTCATTACCTAATGCAATACGAAGATTTTGTTTGTTTAGTTTCCTACTGTACGTTATAAGATTACATTTTTAATATTTAGTTTCATTAAACTTTTACTACACCATCTGTAAAAAACATGTATTTCATTCTGAAACACATTCATATCGTTCTCGCTTCCTATTTCTAAAAATAGCTTCATGTCATCAACGTATATAAGTACTCTGATATTTTTAAAAATAAGAGAGGCGTCATAAATGTACAAAATAAAAAGAAGGGGACCTAGATGCTAGCCCTGGGGAACCCCTGACGTGACATGAATTGGCTTAGATGTTTTCTCGTTGAGTCTTACAATTTGCTGGCGATCAACTAAATATGACTTAATTCAGGTGAGGAGCTTCATCTCAATTCCCATTTTTTTCTAATTTAAAAATCAGCATTGGGATATCAATTCTGTCAAACGATTTGCTGAAGTCCGTATATAGAGCTTCTACTTGGTTACCTCTGTCCATTGCATTTAATACGAAGTCCACAAATTCCAAAAGGTTTGTGGTGGTTGAAAGGCTATTAAAAAAGCCGTGTTGTGCACTAGTTATTCTTTGTTTTATTTGGCCAAAAACGTTTTTTATTTATAATTGATTCGAAGAGTTTTGGAATGCACGAAATGACGAATATCGGATTTTTACCAGATTAATATATGGGTATTAAGTAGGATTTTTTCCATTCCTTCGAGAATATACCGAAGTGACATATTAAACAGCCAGAATAAAGGGGTTGTGAGTTCAGTTGCTAAGTTTTTCATAAAAATTGGTGGGATTCCATCTGGTCCTAAACCTTTAGTGACGTCCAAATCTTCCCAATATCATGAACCGAAATGTTATTAACGCCAACAGTAATTGAAAAGTCAGCTGAAAATTTCGTGCATGTTTCTTGAAAAAAGTGGCGAAAAGATTACATATATCATCCGAATTATTACCTTCCTTTTCATCCAATGTCATTTTTGATGGAAAGCTACACGATTTCATTTTAGTTTTGACGTAATTGAAGAAGTTTCTTGGACATGATTTAATTTCATTCTCAGTTTTTATGTTATACTCAGACAGTGCCAAAGAAATCGCATCATTAAGTTGATCACAAATACTTTTCGAGATTATCACGATTTTTATGATTTCTATTTTGTGAGCTGTTTTGTTAACGGTCTTCGTCAAGCACACGGGACCTGCTTAACCCCAAAAATGAGCCGATTTGGTCAAAGTAGTGATGAGATATCGTGGGACCCGTTTTTTCAAACCACTAACTTCAATCTCAGCAATTTTGTTACCAAATCAAGCTGAACATTGCATTAGGTCCTAAGTAACATTGATCGATTCTCTTCGTC